CCCCCCCCCCACCCACCCAGTGAGGTGTCAGCAGGATTCACGTGGACCACTTCCGAGAGCCCAGCCCCAGGTGGTTTGGGTGAACCCAGGGCATCATCACGTGCTTGCTGCTTCTACCAGGGACTGTCATCTCAGTGGCTGGCGGGCTCAGCACGCACTTCCCTCGGACGATACCAGTTCATCCCCCAGTTTAGCCATCGTGCAAGAGGGCTTCAAAAAAGTTGGTGGAAGAAATGGATTTAAAAGATGGTGGGGGGGCTGTTTTTTCTCTTTTCCCCCCATGAACTTTTTGAAGTCTCGCGTTTGAGCGAGGAGGGAAAGCTGGGAAAGGGAAGACTTGTCAGGTTGGGTCCAAGAACAAAGGCTCTAAATGTGCAGTGTCATGGGATGTTGGCAGCCGCGGCTCTGGAGCCGGGCACCCGCACGAAGCCTCAACTCAGAAAGCACAGTGTCCTAAAGGGTACTGTCTTCACACCAGCCCGCTTTCCTCTGTGCGAGTTTGCCCCTCCAGCTCTCCTCCAGAAGAGGCGGGCTGATGACCCTGGAGGTCTGGACCGAGTGCGTCTGCTCTGTGAAGCAGGGGAGACCTCTGTGTGACTAGTCCGTGCACATCCCACGGAAAGTGACGGACCGTCTTTGCTTTCTCAAAGGGAAACCCTTCTGTTTCCCATAATGCGATGCTCTTGAAGGAAGAAAGGTGTGCTTGCCTTAGAGAATGCTTGTCCAGCCTGGCCTCTCGCTTCTGTCGGGGTTTCATGGAGCTCCACACCCCCCCAGGGGGGACGGACAGACGAACAAGGGCCCCATTGTGCTGTGCCGAACTCAGCCATGGGCCCTTCCCATGCAGCCCACAGGCCATCTCTTTCCTTTTTTTGCAGTAAAAGAGCAGGCTAACCCTCCATTACAGCCATCTTCATCGGCATTAGTAGCTCTTCCAGGTTATCAAGGTGTTGGGAACGCTGAGTTAAGCCCAGGTTATCAAGGTGTTGGGAACATCGAGTTAAACGTGCACAGCACTTCCACGGGGAGAAAGACGGGGCTTTATTCCCATGAGAGCGGTACTCTCGGACTTCCACAGGGGCCACTGTGCCTTGTCTGGCAGAGTTGCTGTGAGTCGACATCAACTTGCTGGCAGTGGGTTTGGTTTGGTTGAGCACTTCTGGGAGCTTCGATCTGAGGGCCCCGGTGGGGCCAGCTGCCGGCTTGCCCCTCTCATGTGCAAAGTAACCATACGTGGTGTCCTTTCCCCCTCTCAGTCCAGTGGGGCCTGCCCACTGTCTCCGCCGCGGGCGTCATCGGCATGCTCAGTGCAGTGGTGGCCAGCATCATCGAGTCCATCGGCGACTACTACGCCTGTGCGCGCCTGTCCTGCGCCCCGCCGCCACCCATCCACGCCATCAACAGGTACGTCCCAGAAGGAGGGAGTGCCGCGGCAGCCCAGCGCCGCCTCACTCTGCCCTGTGCTTCTTTGCCTCTTGGAGAAGAAGCTTCGTAAGCAGTTCAGCACGAAGCAATGGAGCGCCACCAGGGCTACCCAGTGGCCGTCTGACTTTGGAACAAGCCACTTCCCGATTCTAGCCTCATGTCCCCAGCCTTCCTTCCCTGAGAATAAGTAGTGGAAAGACACCCCCGGGAGCGCACGCTGCACCTTCACTCATAAAAACCAGGACTGCCGAGCTCGCTCCTCGGTTTGGGGTTCTGTTGCCTGGTGCAGAGAGCACTCTCAGCTGTTGACTACAGGTGTGGGGGTTCAGGGCCACCCAGAGGCACCGTGCAAGGAAGGCCTGGCAGTTGGCTTTCAGATGGCCAGTCATTGAGACCTCCGGCGGAGCGGGGGCGCAGTTCTGCTCTGACCCCCACGAGGGTGCCAGGAGTCGGATTGCCTAGGCCCACTGGGGCTCTCTCCCATTTGGTTCTCCCAGCTTTTCCCAGGGCCAGGTGTTACACAGTCTCTTCACAGGCAAGGGGTTCATGATCTCCGGGGGCGGGGAAGGTACTCTCCACACACCAAGTCCTTCGCTCCTGAATGCTGGGAGTGGATGCTGGGACCCCATGGAATCTACAGGAGAAAGGGCCCAGCTCACCCCAGTCTCCCAGCCAGCGGCTGCTCCCCAGCACTCCTGTTGTCTCCCTCCTGTGGCTCCCAGCAGTTCTGGAAGGAGCTCCGAGCCCTGATTTCTGCATCGTTCTCTTGCATGTAATTAAGCTCCTTCTACAAGGGGGCTTCAAAAAGTTCCCATAAAAATAAAAGGGGTGGGGGGGTGAGTTAAAAGAATGAAATTTTTCCCAGCCTTATGTTGATTATTCTGAAAATGTTTGCATGTGTGCGTTTATTAATCATTTCCTCTTTGATCAAAGTAGATATGAATAACAAAGGAATCAAACCAGTGGGTTGCAATCTTGAGAGACACCCATGTTTGTCTTAACACCCACCCCCCACTCCCGCCACCCACCCATTACCCTTCAGCCGATTCCAACGCTTGGGCTGCAGGTCCCAATGACTGGCTCTGTTTTCTGGTGGAAATCTGTTGCCTAATGTGAAATGATTTTTAAGCCCCTCTAAAATTTAGAGGAATCCTGGTGGCAAGGTTGGCGGTTCAAACCCAGCAGCTGCTCCGCAGGAGAGCGATGATGCTGCCTGCTCCCATGAAGATAGATGGGTGGACACCCTCAGAAAGCCTATAGACAGAGGGTGGCTCTGCGCTGGAATCATTTCTTTGGCGGGTTCCCATGGTCAATGGGGGGAATGCTGCCCACGTGCTGGCCCTAATTCAGGAGGCCTGAGGTGAGGTTAGAGTGTGTGCTTTCCCTGGACCACGCCGCTGGGCCGGACAGCCTGGACCCCGCATTCAGTGCACCCTTCTCTTGCCCTCCCGGTCCTTTCCATTCAGGGGCATTTTCGTCGAGGGCGTCTCCTGCGTGCTCGACGGCGTCTTCGGCACCGGGAACGGGTCCACATCATCCAGCCCCAACATCGGAGTGCTGGGGATCACCAAGGTAGGTGGTTTCCCCCATGAAAGGGTTGGGCCCCAGGCCTCCCTTGTGGTGGCTGGTTGGACCCTGGTGAGTTTTAACAGGAAAGAAAGTTCTCTGCCTCACTGAGGCTGTGTCTTCTTGTCAACCCCTCCACCGCCCCCCCCTCTGTTTTCCGCTGCGGGACGTCAGGAAGTAGGGTTGGAGGTCTCTTCTTTGGCCAGCACGGTAGGGAGGTTCCCACACATCTGTGTGTCTTTCTCCTCCAACCAAGTGCTTTCCAGACGCCGATTCACTGCCGCCCTAGCCTACCTGCTTTTGCAACCACTTGGCCTATTGAGCGAGTGACGGGGGGAAGGTGCCCTAGCCCTCAGAGAGTATGCCTTCTGGCAGCCGGTGCCAAGCGTGGACAGTCCGCTACAACCACAAGCGCAGCCAGGCACTGCCCGCGATATGAGCCGAGCCTGGCACAGTGAAGCGCAGCAAGGGGGCTGGTGCGGCAGGGGCAGAGAGAGCGAGAAGACCGTGTTCCAGGGAAGAGATGTTCTAGAGATTCCGCCCACGGCAGGAAACATCAGGCCTAGCTTAAAGATTAACAAGGTGCTCAACCTTAGCGCTAGAACCCCTCTCTCAGATGACATCTGGCGTGGAAACCTAGCGGAAGCAAACAAGTCCGTGTGAGTCACTCAGGAGGCAGCTAGGGCCTGGGGCGAGTCCTACCTGCCAGCCTCGCCCCTCTGCCCCACCCCCAGCTTCCATCATCACATGTCTTACTAGCAAGTAGACTTGTACCTGTGTTGTCTAAAGCCCCAGGGTGCGCTTAGCCGGGCGGGTGACGAATGCAGAAATGCAGCCAGCCGACTGGCCCTGTGCATTACGCAGTACAGCCTGCTCCAGTGAGGTCTGATCCCCGAGAGCTTGTGTACCTGGATGGTCTTTATACAATTAGGGGCGTAGATCTCCAAAGAAAAGGCACAGGCTTTCGGAAGAGAAATCCCTCCGCCAGGTTCTATAACTACGTGAAAAGAAACCGGGTACCAAATGTGTACATCTTGATGGCAGGTCCCTGCTGGAGAGGCCCCACTCACACCGCCCCCAGAGCGTCCCGGGAATGGCCAGTTTCCCCTGCCCGGTGTATAACCGATCGCACCTGTCACGAGTGAAAATGTTGTCACGGGCTTTCGCGGTTGAGCCTCTCCCCTTCTGTACAGGAGACCCTGGTTTGCTGTTCCCAGCCAGGGCGCCTCACATGCACCCAGCACGCCAGCTTGTCATTGATGACTTATGCGTTGCCATGGTGCCGAACAGCTTTTCAGTGGAGCTTCCAGACTGAGGTGGACTAAGAAGCGATCGGCTTCCAAACACTGGGCAATGCAAGCAGGCCTCCGGGGCAGTCCAACTGGCCTCTGTTTGCCTGGGACAAGTGGGGAAGGAACCCCGTGTGTGGCTGATGAGTCCCACACAAAGCCACGTGCTCTGCTTAGCCCTCGCTCCTGAACCGTAGGATCAGAGACTACAGCACAATCCTGATCAAGAGGGGGGGGAAAACAGAACAGAAGCTCCCATTGTCTTACACTCCAGACTTTTCAGAGCCAGAGGGTCTGGAAGAACCCCTAAAATGCCTGCCCTGAAATAGTCTTGAGAACTTGGCCCAGAATTGCCCTCTGCCATCTTCAAGTCCAGCAACAGTGTAACTTAACTGGTAACAGAGTGCTGCTCTTCCCAGACCATCTGTGTGGGGTCAAAGTGACAATGGCCTCTCTCCAGGGCAGATAAGAAGCTTAGGGGCAGGTTGTCGATGCGCCTAAGCAGAAAGGCCCCAGAAGAGGGGGAGGAGAGTGGCTGCACCGCTCGAGACCGTAACCAGCCTTGCAGCGTGGTAGGGGCCGTGGACTGTAACCAGCCTTGCAGCGTGGTAGGGGCCGTGGACTGTAACCAGCCTTGCAGAGTGGTAGGTCACGTGGACTGTAACCAGCCTTGCAGAGTGGTAGGGGCCATGCAGGACTGTTTGAGTTGCTGTCTATGTTCTCAACAACAAACTAAAACAAGCATTTAAGAAAAAAAAGAAAATCCCAGCAAACTGGAAATAGGGCACTGACCAAGCCCCTTGGCGGCCTGAGCCAGGGGGCCGATGGGAAGGTGGCTGGCTGTGCAGCCAGTAGCGAGTCAAGCTAGGCTGGGTTTCCTGCTGAAGGTGCCCAGGGCCGGGGGGCATGGGGGCAGGGAGAGCAAGGCCAGGTGGGAGGCAGCAGGTGCTTGCCAGGCACCAATGGAATGGTTTCGCACACCCTGTCGCGTGTCCTCAGCACGACCATGCAGTTATTTCGCCATGGAGATGAGGGTCCTGGGGCCCAGAGAGGCTCCGTGGCATGTGCTGGTCACACAGCTAGAATGGAGCTGACACTTGATCCTCGTGCCTCCCACCCGAGAGTTCTCTCTGCTCTGGGCTCCCTCTCCTGGGGCAGAGGCCACGAAGGCTTAATAGCAGGGCGGAGAGCTTCCCTAGCCGGCTCGGGCCTTGTCTGACTTAGCTGCCAGGGATACGGTGTCCTTAGTGGATGGTGAGAAAAGGCAGCCTTTGACATTCCCCATTTGAAATGCCAAAGGCTCCCCTCAGCCCCCAGGGCACCAGTGGGGGCACCAAAGGGTGGGACCCTTGGAAACCCCAGAGTCTCAAGCTCACGAGCAAGTCTACGTAGGAGACCAGTCAGGGAAACTGAGGCAGGGCCCTGGGGCTGCCCCCAAAGTGAGCAGAGAGGACGGGGGCAGCGAAGAAAGGTGGGCAGTCTTTGTCATCTGGAATCGCTGGAGTGGTTGAGATTGACTGCACGCTGAGAAGAATGCTCATTTTGAGGTGAGCCTGGCCGCCGCCAGCTGGGAGTGTCCCGCGGCCCCAGCTTTGGTGGCTCATGGGTCATGTGCTGGCCACCCTTGCAGGAGGTTGTACTCCCAGTCAGTGTGCCTCCTCCGTGCTCAGTCCTTTGCTCATATGATGAGCAGGTTTCAGTAGCACTTGGAAGAAAGGCCTGGCGATCGAATTCGGAAAATCAACCCAGGCAAACCCTGTGGATCACGGTGGTCTGGTCCTGTTCTGGGTGGAATTACCCTGAGTTGGGGGCAGGGGCAGTGGCTCCCCTGCTGTCTTGAGACTCTGTCTGATTTTACATGTGGGGAAGGTGGGGCTGACGCTGTATCAGTGCCTGAGTACTTCCTCACGGAAGTGTGAGGACCGTGGCTTTCCTGGGGAGCTGGTCTTTGAGGACTGTGGGACTGTGTGTGGAAGACAGCCCTGCAGACACCACCTCTGCTTGCGTCTCACAGGTGGGCAGTCGCCGGGTGATACAGTACGGAGCAGCCCTGATGCTGGCCCTGGGCATGGTGGGAAAGTTCAGCGCCCTCTTCGCGTCCCTTCCTGACCCTGTGCTGGGCGCCCTCTTCTGCACGCTCTTCGGTAAGGATTTGTTTCTTGGGAACCAGGCACCCCTCCTCCAGCTCCTTGTCTGTCTTCTGCCTCTGCCACTTTCCCTGCCCTCAGGGACTTGAGCGTCTGACGATGGTGGACACGGTGGGACCTGTGGCCTTGTGCTTTCTCTGCAGGGATGATCACAGCGGTTGGACTCTCCAACTTGCAATTCATCGATTTAAATTCTTCCCGGAACCTCTTTGTGCTCGGATTCTCCATCTTCTTTGGACTCGTCCTTCCAAGTTACCTCAGACAGAACCCTCTCGTCACAGGTAAGGAAAACAGACCTCAGGTTCAAGGGTGAGTTGTTAACACATGGTTCTCAAAGGGTTCTGCTTTCCTCCCTGGACCGGGCCCAGGGCTTCAGGAACTTGAGCCTCACCCTGCTGCCGTGTACCTGGACCCCTGAGCGCTTGTCTCCATAGCGGCCGGGTGTGCAGACCTGTTGTGCGCACGAAGGCCTCTTACCAGAACCATCTCCTTTGGGAGGATGCTTTTCTGAAAACAACAACAACCAAAAACACCTTTGCATTTTTCAAAGTGGTGCTATATTTTGGAGCCCTGGAAGCACAGTGGTCATGCTTTGGGCTGCAGTCCACAGGGTTGGCGGTTTGAAACCACCTGGAGCTCCTGGGGAGATCGACGAGACTTTCTACTCCGTAAACAGCTACGGAGCCTCGGAAACTCACGGAGCAGTTCTGCCCTGTCCCACGGGGTGCCTGTGAGTCAGCATCGACTCGGGGGCAGGCGCCGTATTGAAATGTGTGACGTCTTGAAATTCATGTTTTCCCATTGGGGCTCCAGCTAGGAGTGTGACGGTGAGCCTTGGTCCCTCCTCCCCTTGTTTCCTCGTGTCTGGGGCCCCAGAGAAGGAGCAGCCTCGGGTGTGCCGTACTGAGCAGCGGCAGAGCTGGCGGCCTGCCGTGGTGCACCTGGAAAGCGCGAGGGCTGCTCCTAGTTGCAGATGCATGCCTGCTCGTTCCTGCTTGTACAATTTCAATACACCGCATGCGAATGGGAGCACCTTTTAACATCGGTTTGCTCCTAATCAAAAGGAACTAAACACTACCCCGAACAAGGAAAACCTTGGTGTGATTGCATATGCCACAAACCCTTTTATTTCCTTACTCCCCGTCGCTTTCCTCGCAGCCTCACAATGGCTGTCTTTTAGTCTGAAGTTTTTTAATATACCACCAACACTCGGAGCGCGGCCAGAGGATATTGTATAGGCGTCCTGGGCTGCTCACCAAGAGGTCAGCAGTTCAAATCTACCAGCTGCTCCGGGGGAGGCTTTATTCTCCTGTAAAGAGTTACAGCCTCGGACCCCCCAGGGGCAGTTCTGCTCTGCCCTGGGGTCTCTTTGAGTCAGACCTGGCTCCGTGGCAGTGAGCTTTGGTTTTCCACCCTGTTAGGTTATCTTGGGCCCTGGGTCATTGTTAAGGCCATTCCTCATAGAGACCCTGAGAGGGCCTGCCGGCCGCTGCCTTGTGACGCTTTCCCTCCGGTTTCTCTGCCTCTAGGGATAACGGGGATTGATCAGGTGCTGAACGTTCTGCTCACCACGGCGATGTTCGTGGGAGGCTGCGTGGCTTTCATTTTGGATAACACCATTCCAGGTAGGTGGCGGGTCTCCAGGGAGCACCTTCCTGACTGCCAGGAAAGGGGGGCAAGCAGAAAGGAGGAACCTGTGAGAAGCATTCGCCGCTTAAAAGCGACTTCAAAAGTGGTTGAGTTTGACCAGCCCCTTTCCCAATGCCAAGGCCCTATTCAAAGAAAACAGGTCCGTTTCTTGGGCTGCCTTGGGAGGAGGCAGTGGGGAGGCCTCGGCCCCCTGCCCGCCCGCCCGCCCTCCACACCTGAGCCCCGAGCCAGCGGCCATCCTGTGCTTGTGCGTGTAGAGTAGAGGGTGGACGGAAAAAGAGGAAGGCCCCCCAATGAGATGATTGACAGGCCAGTGGGTGCCACAGTGGGCGCCAGCCGAGCCACAGCCGTGAGGAGGGCACAGGCCTGGGCGGGCGTTTCCCTGTGTTGTTACACAGGGCGGCTATGAGCCGGAACCGGGGACCAGCTGCTCCTTCAAGCACCCTTTGCGCTCTGCCATCCTGAGGGATTCCTCCCTCTTGGCGAGCCTGCCCCATCCATTAAGGGACTCTTCCCTGAGGCTCGCCCCTAGCCCTCTGCAAGCCCACATGCAGGCTCCCCAGCCAGTGAGACCACTGCCTCCACGGGGTGTGTCCGGGTGCCTGCCGGGCCCCAGAGATGGGAGGCCCCCTGCGCCACCCCCACCCCCTCAAGTCCACAGGAGGCTACAGTGCAGGGACCCGTTAAAAGCACTGGCCTTGACCTCTGCCTTTCAGGCCATGAGCGGTTCCCCTGGAAGGCACAGTGCTTATGCTTGGGCTTGAAGGATTGCTTGAAACAAACTCTTTCCCGAAAGTTTCGGGCTGGAGCTTGCTCGGGAGTCCAGGGGTGAGCCACAGAGAAGGCGGCCTGGGTGCTGGTTTTTGTCTGGTTTTTGGTGGGGCGGGGGGTTAAAGAGTTTCATGGAGATAAAATTAGCATACCTGTCAGTAGTTCAGTCGTACGAGGGATGTTGTGTGTCTGTCACCACAGTGCATTCTGGAACATTTTCTTCCTCCTTGTACCCACTGGGGACTGTGGGCTCTCCATTTCCCGCGCCTCCTCTTCCATGCCCTCAGGGACTTTTTAGTCCAGTCACTGTTTTCATAGATCCACCCATCCTGACCGTCCTGACCTCCCTGTGCAGAGAAAAACACAAAACAAAGACTGGGGAGAAAAACAAACAGAAAAGGACCCAGTAGCAGTGACCCCACCGCCCTCCAAAACACAAAAACACAAAAATTTCAACCGAGAAGAAATCAGAAAAGATTTTTGAAATAGAATAAATTCTACTAAAAACCAGAACAAATTCAAGAGGGAGCTCTAATGGCAAGGCATTGCCCTCCAGTCTTCCCACGGCTGTTGAAAGCCACCTTACCCTGCTCTTTGTCTGGTCCTCCATGACTCATGTGCCCACAGCCTCGATAGGGGCCGGATTTAAGAGGACCAACGAGCAACATCTTGTTTCTCTCCGTAGCCAGAACGAATTGAGAGGCGGCTCTGGCATCAGATAGAGGATGGGGGATAAATCAGCCACGTTATGCAAGCAGCAGTTGAGGGGTGGGGGTGGGGTGGGACAGGCACAGCTTAGATGCAAGAACATCACGAGCTCCCTAAACAATGGGCACCCAATCAGGCTGCTCACCCAGGTTCAGGTGCCAACGTGTCTCAGTGTGAGGTGTACTAGGTCAGCGGTTCAAAGCCACCAACCACTCCACGGAAGGTGAGGCTTTCTGCTCCCATGAAGAGTTACCGTCTTGGCAGGCCACAGGGCAGTTCGACCCTGTCCTGTCAGGGTGCTGTGACTGAGCACCCACTTGAGGGCAGTGAGGTGGTTTTCTTGGGACTGGGGTCTCCTTCATTTTGCCAGTGAACTCAGCATTCCGTTGGTTCTGTGCGTGCGTGCGTGCGTGCGTGCGTGCGTGCGTGTGTGTGTGTGTGTGTGTGTGCGTGTGTGGGCGTGTGTGTGACAGGTACTCCAGAGGAACGAGGCATCCGGAAGTGGAAGAAGGGCATACGCAAAGGAAGCAAGACGCTCGATGGCATGGAGTCGTACGATTTGCCCTTCGGCATGAACATTATCAAAAAGTACCGATGCTTCAGCTACTTGCCCATCAGCCCCACCTTCGTGGGCTACACCTGGAAAGGCCTCCGGAAGAGCGGGACCAACCGGAATCCGGGAGAAGACTCCCAGGCCACAGTATAGCCCCGGGCGCCCGGTGGCTGGCGGCAGCGGTGGCGGCAGGGCATGTCTCTGTAGTCCTCGCTGAGTAACAAGCAGTAAACTATGTCTGTATTTCTGCATTCACACTCTGCACCCTGGAGCTAAGACTGATTACAATTAATTAGCTTTTCTGTCGTGGGTGGTGATCCTGCCTAATACGGTGTCTCTCCTATGTCCTTATTTAAATGAAGCCCTTGACCCTTTCCCTTCTGGGAGCGTCCATTGCTGGCCATGGTCACTGAACTTGAAGTCCCCAGACTTCTGAGGGAGGGTGCATTCCTGATCCCTGGGGAATCTCCCGTTTTCCGCCCCCTTCCTAAGAAGGATTAGGACCTGAGCTGCTCTCGGGGCTAGTTTACCGGCAGCCTCCCCCAGGTCCAGTGGCTTTCTGTGTAGGACACCCTTGGACCGGTGTCCTTTGGATTGGAATCTTGCAAATCCTCACCTCAGCCTGGGCCCAGCGAGACCTCGTGGCTGAAGAACACGTGTCCTCGCAGTGTCACGTCTGACGGAGGAGTGGGGGACTCCGTGTTTCCCTGCTGGTCCTGTAGGGGCAGGAAGCCCACCCAGTTGAAAACCCAAGAGAGGGTGGAGGGAAGGCCCTGTAAGCCAGGCCTGCTCCTTGGCTGCTTTCTGTCCACAGCCCCCACCCCAGCCTGGACTGGCCGGCGCACTTCCTGGTGACGACCGTTTTCCCCACTAGTCGCTGGACACCGTATCCGGCATCGATCACCACGGGCTGGGGTGACGAACGAGTGCCACATGAGGGCACCGGCGGGTGTTTCTGGGAGTCCCGGCTCTGCCGTCACGTGGATGTTAGTGATGGTTGCGCGCGTCTGTTGTTACAAGGTTTTATTCCTATTTCATGTTTCTGACTGTAGCAGGTTTTGAAATCAGTGTTTTTCCACGTGACCCCCCTGCCCTGCATCCCGATGACTTGTCCTCCAACCCCACCCCGTTCAGCAAAGAGCCAGCTTCCGTAAAGCTGTGGCCACCATCAGGGGAAGCGCGTCATGGCTTTTCAAGGCCAGTAACCATTACTGTGGCTGTGTGTTTTTATTGCTTGATAGCACGGAAGTGTAAATACTGTAATGCCCAACCTATTTATCGAAACTGACTACTGGACCAGAGCCCAGACACCATGGGTCAAGTTGTATGTGAATTTGTTTCCTGAAGAAGGGAAGCCGGGCCAGGTCTCTGCCCTGGCTTGAGAGAATGCTCTGTGTGTTGCTGGGCTACGTGTCCACTAGAAGCTGTAGAGGCCAAGGTCAGAGCCCCTGGCCACACATAGTTTAAGTTATTACAGAGGTTGATGAGAAAGGTGGCTGGCTGGCCTGGCCCCCTCTTGTAAAAAGAGCTCTACTTCATAACACTAAATTCTCTATCTGGAAGTGAGGGGGAGGATTTCTGTATAATCTGCTTGGAAGTTTTCAGCCAAGGAGCAGCTTTGAGACCTAAAGCCAGTGACCTCTCTCCATGGAGCTGTACTTCCTACGTGGCCGTGGGCCTGGTTGAGCTGTGGTTGGCAGGGCAGTGGGCATTGCCAGCTCCTGGACCATGGGCCTGGTCCTCGGCAGCTGTGCAGTGCCATCCGAGGCTGGTGTGGCTTCCTCCCCTTGCAATGTCATTGCGTCATCACCCCACCCCTCCTTCCGTCTATTAGGGCAGGAATGCTTAGAGCCATTCAGTCAAGAATTAAGGAAACAGTTTAGATTCTGAATGGCATTTCATTTTGTACTCCATTTCCTTTTTTTTTTTTTAAGACGTGTCTTTGGTGCAAAGGGACTTTAGGAACACCTAACTACTACGTTCCCCCCTTGCGGCTGACAGCCCTCTTGCGTTGCGGTGAGACGGTCTCCAGTCTAACTGTTGGTAGTCCGCGCTGCATCTCTGTGCTCCCGGGAAACGGGAGGAGCTGCTAACCTTTCCAGAGATTCGCGGCCTCCCAGCTCACCTGGACATCAGTCCTGTTCAGCTCAACCTGGCCAGCATCCCCCC